CTAGTAACTTATCTAGAGGAGCTCGACTACGTCTTCTATCAGTAGCTGAAGCAGTTGCAATTAATACCAGAAGACCATCGCTTTGCATACAGAAGAAGTATGTTCAACCGTTTTGTTTACCTTGGCCTACAATAAAGCCAACAAATCCTCCACTAACGCTATAAATTCTCTTCACAATTTCCTTTTCTTTTCTCCTTCTTCTATTATTCTGTTACATTGACAAACGTTCATTTTCGACTTTTATGATTTCATGACCTTTCTTATGATTTTATTACCTTAGGTGTAAGTAGTGCTTTTCTAACTTGCTATCGTATTTACAAAATCCTGTTCATTCCACTTCATTATATTCATAATTATTATTTGACAATCATTTACGAATAGTGCTTGTAATTTTACACCATATAATCGTTATTATTTTACAATCATTCTTATTGTCATTCTTATTACCTCTTCTTCTTACTATTATTGTTATTATTATTATAATCATTATTATTATTTTTGATTCATCTAAAACTATACCTTTTCAGTAAGATTATCTTAACTCACTTCAACACTATTATTATTATTATAACTACTACTATTGATATTAGTCTGTTTACAATTCTCGTTATATTCCCTAATGACTAATTGTTTATCTAAGTGATGTAATTGAAGCGTAATGCAATTTATCTTAATTTTGATCTCTCATACTCTCTCTCCCCTTATCTATTTGAACACGACCTGGAAAACATTCGAACCTGTCGTCTTTCTGCATGATTAATTCAATGTAGTTTGTTTACTTATCAGTCTTATACCTCCCAAATGTAATCTCAAAAGTATATATATTCGTGTATGTAGAGTATTCAGCTGACGGGGAGTTCTCCCGAAATTTGATGAATTCATTAAATCCTGCTTTATTAACCTTTATTGCTGGTTTTAAATTCTTATTGTCGTTATTTTCAACCTTGAACTTATGTCTAGACCGCCCCATTCGTTGGTTTATTCTCATATTGTCTCACACACCCTGATTACACTCACTCTTGAAACCTGTATTTTCTGTTGACTATATTTATATATTTACACACACATGATTAAATTAAATTACTTCATCTCATTTTGCCCCATGTTCTCATTGACCATGCATATTAAAAAACTATATGACTATTGTTCCATCCCATGTTATACTTGTTCGACAATACACTTTCTGATATGATTGTAATTTGCCTTTACTGACTGGCTATTGTATGCTTAAATTAATGGATTTATAATTGTAGAGCTTGGAGAAGAATTTATTGAAACCACAATTGTTCGCTCTAAATATTTTGTTCTGAAGAGATAAATGTAAGTAAACAGAAGTGTTTACAAGTGTAAAATGATTGTCTACTTGTGTTAGTACGATAGTAAGATTTATGAAAATCAATAGAAGGACACACACACACACACACAATTCATATTGAGCTGTAAAATGAGAATTTACATGCACCTGAACATCAGCCTATATGTGTGCATTTAGCTAGATTTAATTATTTATTACAGCACTTCATCATGAGGTGATATCGGTAAGAGAACTGTTAGTAAACCACTAAGGAATACTGTACAGATATTTCTCCCTAGTTTATGGCTCTTCATCAGTACTCACCCGACGAGGTTCAAATCCAGGAGCTTCCGCTCACAAGGCCAGATCGTTTTAGTGAGGTATCGTGACCAGTAGGGTATATCAGGTTGGGTGTAAGGACAGATAATCGTCGCGGATAACATTGGCTGGTGGTCATGCTATATCATCAATCGACAGAAGTTGGAATTCATGCATTGGCCAATGGATCGCGTCCCAGTGGCTTAACGGTCTACGAGTTCGACTTGTAACCAGAAAGTCCTGGGTTTGAACTCTGGTGGTGGATGCATACCGCTGGAGAATCCTAAACTAAGACGAAGCTAATATCTAGCACTCTCTGATAGTTTTCCAATGGTTGTCTAACCGATGTCAGCCCATGATGAAATCCTATAACCAATGAAATCCACGCACATCAAAACTTGAATATTAATTAGTTGTCATGATTTGAAATTACTTGCAAGACTCACTAAAGAGAATCAGATACATATCCTAACCATGTGTGACAAATTCTTCGCGCCTAATAACAGCAACAACAACAACTGAATTCTAAACCTTTAGTTTTTAAGACATTAGTGTGCTATAACGTTAGACTACTCTCCATGAGAACCTAACAATCAATACCCTTTCAATTTCTAAAATAGAGACACATCCATCATAAGTCGCATTCTTGTTCATGATAAAAAAAACTTCACCAATTGAGAGATGCTTTATATACGGTGTAAATGAGAGTAATCACTGTAAAATTTATTGAAACAAATACTGACGTGTATTTTTTCTCATGTAGACAAATGTAGACAGAAAATAATAGTAACTATTGTCTGATCAACTCACAAAACTACGCAACAAATAAAGATGACATGATAATGTTTTGGTTAATGTGGCGAAACCTATTCAAATCACCAAAGAATATGTGCTGGTGTGGTTTCAAAAATGTGTAGACTGAGGTGGTTAGAAGACATTACACGTACCTACTCTACCCTATATTATCTGTATTAAACGCATAATTTTCAGCCCATGAACGACCAGTTTGATAAAAACTCAATATGTCCTAAATAAAACAAAATTAATTCATAGAATTTCTTTGGTTACAGGATCACATCATGAGCAGACATCGGTTAGACAACCATTGGAAAACCATCCGGGAGTACTGGACAGATGTATCTTGACAGTGCGCACCCACCACCAGATTCCAAACCCAAGGATCTTCCCGTTTCAAGACAATTAGGCCAATGGGACACGATCCAATGGTCAGTGCATGAATTCCAACTTCTGCCAATTTATGATATGGTGTGACCACTAGCCGATTTCATCCGTGGCGCGTATTTGTTCTCACGCCTGACCTGCTGTACTCTACAGGTCATAATTGTTTCTGTCTACAAATCTAATTAATTTCAACAAGTTTCGAACTTCTGGTTAGTGTTCACAAAATAGTTGTAAAAGATTGAATAAGATTGTAGGCGAAACGGCTCCTTTGTACAATTTTTTAAAATTGTTTTTTCTTCGTTTCTTAGCAAAAGGTATTCCTAATGCACAAGATAAAGACTGGGATTTTAGTCTTTTATCAGATGCGTCGAAAATATTGATTGTTGTCAAAGTTTTTGGAATTCCCTCACTGCATCAGAGACTAATTTGCGAGGGTCAGATGGGTTTCCCGTCAGCTCGTGAATCCATTGATCACAAGTTCAACCTTCATCAGTTATTAGAGCGATGTAACACACATAGTGCTTGTCTATAATCTCTTTATTTCTTTATATCAGGGCTACCTTCAATCTGTTGGAAATTACTGTTCTTTGGGATTGTTAGTGGATTTGTCTGCCTAATAAGTTTACCAACATCCTCAACACTCTATAAAATGGCCCCAGGCAGAAGGGGTGATGCATAGCCACCTATCATCTTTGTTTCTACTCTGTTATAGTGTACGACAGGGTTGCTTTATCTACACATTTCTTAACTCTGAAAGATTACGTAGTGGTGGTATAGATCCGCAGCCTGGAGACACACTTTTGGACCTTGAGTGTATGTACATGATATCATCTTGAGGTGTGATAACATACTAGCTACTAAATCGGTTGACTGTTAGTATCTCTGTGGTTGAACCATTCAAGTGAAAAGTACTGTTATAATATTTAGAAGGGTAGGTGCCTGAACTCAATATAGCAACTGAACATCTAGAAATAGTTTCAAAGTGCGTTTATCCGAGTAGTAGGACGAGTGCTAGAAGAGGTGTAACGGATAAAATTTTCCAGTTGTATTGTAGAAAGGGGTTCGTGTAATTTCGGTCCACAACGACTTTAATCTACCCATCGGAAGTCAGGCTTACAAAAATTTAGTGCTTGCAGCCTTAATTTACGCCTATGAAACCTGGTCTCTCTGGGTTGAGGTGGTGATTGCGAATTCATACATTGCTGTCTCTGTAGGACTGCTTGTATTCAGTGATGTCACTGTGTACGTAATTATAAGATTTGATGAGGAGGGCGGGGGTAGCTTAGACATGGTAAACATTGTCCTTCAAATACGTGATGTCATGTTAGAAAACAAACTTCGGTGACTTGTTTGTGTGATGGAAGTGTCAATCCAGCAGATTTCACGTAGTCCACTGTTTGCTAGCCCTAGGAATGGATGAAAAAAAATGGGAAGGTCGCCAATCCGTGCTGTGGCGACGTAGGATGAATGATGGTCAGTTCGCGTTAGATTCTGATGATGCATTATAATTCTCTCGCTGACGTCCGGGAGATTATCCAAGTCAGCTATTCGAGACATTATCGGATAAGGCTGAGAACCGCAGAGAGTGGAGAACATGTTGCAATCTTCTTTTTATGGAAGTATTATAAAGCACTGAAGCAACCACAATGGTAAGTCTAGCTGTTTAGTCATTCAGAAGTCCAAACACCACTCCATTAACTTCAATCACGACAACCAGGTAGCATGTTAAAGTATTTTCATTGGACTAGACACGTCACACTATTTACTAGTGTCCAATGAAAATACCCACTGCAGTCCTACAGGAGGTCAGTCGTAAGCCCGAATAGCTCAGTGGTAACGTCTCTGACTGCAGCACTGGTTGACGTGGGTTCGAATCTCAAAAGGGATATGAGTTCCTTCAAGGTTGCAGATACGTCTTTCTGACGAGTGCTAACTAGCACGAAACCTAGATCCAAGGCTTTCTACAGATTGTCTCCAACTATCTAATAGCATGTTAAAGTGGCTGGTAGCTACATGCATAAATATGTACCCAATCATTAAGCGATATTTCCACTGAGATACGACTTGATACATCTGTTTTGAAGAGTTTCAGTATTACACTAAATTTTTAACCAGACAGAGATAAAAAGTGCTCAATACTTTTACAATAAGTAGTAGGATAATAACCAAATATAACATGGATAACAGAAGAAATAATAATCTTTACCTTGCTTCAAGAATTCCTTGATATGTATACAATTCTCTCATGAAACCAGGATTTGGCTGTACACATGGACGCCGACATTTAACATAAGATAGAGCAGTCTCTAAATCCCAATTATGTTCCTTCATAGCGTATGCGATTACCTAAATAGTAAAAGTTAAAGAAGAAAGCGTTAATATCAGTAGATACACCACTTCATATTATCTCTTCTCAACTATTACAATTAAATTAATTCGATGAAATCGATTAGAGCCTGTTGAAATATTTTTATTCATTCGGAAATTATCATCGCAAACGTCAGCCTATAAATAAGGGGATTTGATTGATTGGTTACAGGATTTCAGCATGAACTGACATCGGTTGGACAACCATTGGTAAGCCATCAGGGTGTACTAGACATCAGCTTCGTCCCTAGCTTAGGATTCTTCAGCGGTATGCACCTACTACTAGGGCTCAAGCCCAGGACCTTCTGATTACAAGTCGAACTCGTGGACCATTAAGCCACTGGGACGCAATCGAATAGCCAATGCGTGAATTCCAACTTCTGCCAATTCACGAAATAGCGCAACCGCTAGCCAATGTCATCCATGGTATTTTTCCTCACACCCGACATGACCTATCCTACTGGTCATGACTTCCCACTAAAACTCCAAGTAACTACCTACCTGAATAGGACCAGCCGCTAGTGAGCATCTCATCCAAATGGTTCTCTAACCAATATCAGCTTATGATGAAATCCTGTAGCCAATATAAATAAGTGACCAGATCTTTTTATTAAATTTATGTTAAAAAAAACACATAAAAGATGCAAGAATATATCTACAGAATTTGTACTAATTCTCTAATATTCATGATTATTTTCAGAATAGGAAGACAAAGACTTAATTTGTATTCAACAAAATGAGAAATACTATCTCGAACATCTTCGACATGAAGATAAACATCAAGACAAGGCATCACAACGAAATATTGTACAGCAGAAATCAAAGACCTTCAAAATTTGACACACATATTGTTTGTCCTATTTAAAATGATTCACAGATCTCACAGTGTGTTAAGATAATGAAAGTCTTATTTCACTCTACATCACAGATTTTGAGGATATTTAGAAAAACTTCACCTTTCGCTGGTTGTATTAAATCAATAACTACCCTATAGGACAGCTATTTTAACCTAGATTGGGGTTCTTCAGAAGTACGTATCCAGAGCCGTAGTGTAGATCGAACAAAGGACTTTCAAGGTTTGTGAGATGATGCATTCAAGACTTAATGCAGTATTGATAGCTTAACTTGATCACATAGTCACATATCTCAGTGTTAAAGACTTTTTAAACAAAAAACTGCAGTGAATAAACACACACACACACAATATCGACCAATGTTAAGCATTAACTATAAAAGAAGCAAGCTAAGCAGATAAGCAAAAGAAAATCCTGTATTGTAAGAATCTTAGTGATACTGACCCTAGACAATCTAGGGTCTATATAATTAATCAACCTTAAAAGTAAAGAGAAACACAGCATGTCATCCAAAAAGGCTGTTAATGCATGAACACGTGCTGTTAAACATTCAAAATAATAGAAAGACACTGGGGCTTATCACATTATATTATATAATATAAGAGAGGAATTTTTCACTGTTCATTGTCCACTGTATTTTTACAAGGCATTAAAGTTTATAGAAGTGATAGTAGTTGGTCAAAGCAATTTTAAACTCTTTGATTATGTAAAGAGTAATCAATCAACTGAACCATCGGGACCAGTAAAATATTCAAAGTATTACAGAGTGAATGCAGTCGAATCTCTAGTCTGATGGTTAAACACCATTACAGTTATGACCAAAATTCTCGGTGTCACTTTGGTGTCATTTTTGTATACAGTTCTCATGTACATGTCTTTTAGCAGCAACAATGAATGGGTATAGTAAGAGAACTCTAAGTGATTCAATAAATTTAATTGTATTTCAATATTAAAACAATTAGTCCCTTTGATAAATTTGAACAAGGCATTAAGAAGACAAATTTCGCGAGATGATATCATTTCGTAGTTTCAATAGTTTACACACACACACACACACAATGATAGGTTTTTCCTAACATTTCGAGCAAAATTACTGCATATGATCACATTAACTGTTGGAATTGTTTTGTTGTTAATTCACACATTTATGATTTGTACTCATACATATATATAGCTCAATTTTTCGTTCATTCATTTTTGTGTATCCAGGATTATTTTCTATGGTTTGGTTTTGTAAGGGTTTGTTATGTTTTTACGAGTTGATCACGGATTGATATCAGTTAGAGAACCATTGAAAACAAGCAGGGAGTACTGGACAGCTGCTGTTTCATCCCTGTTCGGGAATCATCGGAAGTACGCACCCACCACCATGGTTCGAACCCAGGACCTTCCGGTTACAAGGCAAACTGGCTCGTATACCATTCAGCCACTGGAACCCGATTCAATGGCCAATCAGTGCATGAATTCTAACTTCTACCAATTCGTGATTTAGCGCGACCCCAACCATTGTCGTTGGTGGGACATCCATCCACACACGTGACATCTAGTTGGACCTCACTGGTCACAACTTCTCACTAGAACTCAGGAAATTCCAACCTGTAGCAATTCACTAGCGAGCATCAGATTAATTTTCTATAGTTTGGTTTTATAAGGGTTTGTTATGTTCCAGGTTACTGACGGTTGTGCTGGGTCACCCTTGTCACATGTATCCGGCGTGACCTCAATGAATATAGATTCTGCTATAAGTCTCATTTTCCATTTGTTCCTATTAGATTTCAGAATACAAACATTGTTCCAGTCGATATTGTGGTTTTTGTCCCATGCATGTGCAGCTATAGATGATTTTTTTTCTAAATTTTTGTAAGCTTGTGTTCCTGTGAGATGACTTTTAGTTAGGCGTTTACGTTCATTCACTCTTATTTTGAGTCATCTGGACATTTGCCACTCGGCACAAGATATTTTGTAAATTACATTACTTTTACTAGATCTTTCAGTTGATTTATTTTATATTTAATTGGATTCGTTGGTTTAAATGTGGTGCGAATCCGAATATTTTTGAGGTTTCTTCGAATTGCCTCCGATGTACCATTTTTGTATGGTATTATGATCGTTTTTGCCATCCTCTTTTTTGTCATTCTCTGGTTTTATCCTCTTTTTTCTCATATCTCCGATAAATTCTTTTGGGTAGACGTTGTCGAGCAACATTTTGAATAAGATGTTTATTTCTTTTCGTTGATCATTTGATGTTGTTGTAAGTCTAAGTATCTTGTCTGCAAGACCTTGTATTAACACTTGTTTTACCGTAAGTTGATGAGCTGAGTGATAATCAAGGAATCTCCAAGAATGTGTAGTCTTTCTGCATAGTGTTTTTTTTATGTTGCCATCTGTTAGTCTTTGTACTTTGCAGTCTAACATAGGCAGTTCACCAATTTCATTCTCTATTTCTATAATGAATTTTACTGAGTCGACATGACTGTTTATGTGTGAGAAGAATTTCTTAACATCGTCATTTTTCATTATTACTAAGGTGTCATCTACGTATCTCCACCAACATTCTATTGATGATCTGAATGGTATAAGTGCATTCTCTTCCCAAAAATCCATGAATATGTCAGCTATTATTGGTGAGATGAGCAATCCCATGGCTACTTCATCATTTTGTTGGTATATTTTTCCTTCAAATGTAAAGTATGCTGTTATTAGACAGAACTTAACCTTTTTTACTATCTCTCCTACGGGTAACTGTGTCCTGTCTTTTAGGCCATCATCTTCTTTTAGTCTTGTTTTCAGTGCATCCATGGCCGTTTGAATGGGTATTTTAGTCGTCTCACCTGTCTGTCTGTTTTCGACATAGAACTTTGCACCGATGTGCGGCCGATCAAGGCGCCACACTCCATGTACCACACAAACCAAGAGAGGAAAGTAAAAGGAAATGCATAATAAAGACAGTAAATAGAGGTTTGAGACAAAATAGAAGTAACGAAGATCAACATAGTTTCATTGGAAATCATAGGTCACAAGGAGTGGATGCATCTGCACCGGCCATTGAGAACGATTTTGAGCCATATCACCACTATTCTAGGTTTTGAATTGTCTCTTGTTATTCTTAGTAATGTTGAGAGAAATCCTGACAGCATCTACGTAGGCGTGTTTCTAAAATCTACAATTGCTCCTATTGCATACTCTTCTTTATGCAGTTTGATCTTGTCATATATCCTAAGTATATTATAATTTATTTGATCTATTTGATAATGCTCAAACTTATTATAAACGTATATTATGCACAAAATAAGTATCTGAATGTCTAGTACAACACGAAAGTAAACACAAAATGGAAAAACTCTAGTTAAGCAAATGAAGCACTGCTGCTATCTAACCTGAAAAATCAAATCATTTATTGAAATTGTTCTTCCAGCTGATGATGTCTGAAGTGAAACACTCCAGTCATCATACAACTCGCAATGAAGATAATAACTGGACTGTCATTATCTACAAGCGATATCATCTCAATTACTTTCAGTTTTAGATGTTCTCAAACAGTAATTAACGGACGCAAATACTACCTCTCATACAACTCAGAAGTAAATAGTCATTTAAGGTGAAAACGCTGACAAAATGCAGTCACCTAAATACCATAGAAGAAAATCTGAATATGTTTTATAGGGCAATTGAATGTATTGAGTATCTAACCCATTTGGGAAATCGCATCAGTTCCAAGAAAGTAGTTTCTAGCAAACTCTGGCAAAGAATTTCCTGACGTGTATGATCTTCGATATCAAAAAGATATACGGTTACACACCAAACTTTATGCAGTAAAAAATTGGTACGAATTGAGATTGGGAGTAGACTACGGCAGAAGATCATACATCTCGACTGTCACTCCTTTGGCGGTATTATCAGTGCCTGGTGAGACCATCATATATTTACTGTAGATGTCAGGCGTTGGGTTGTACAGGAAAGAAGTTAGTAAATCGAGGAAAATACAAGATTCCTTCAACTGGTGTGATTGTGAGATGGGTACCGATCTATAACTATCCGCAAAACACGAGTAGATTAGAAGACCTCAAGGGAATTGAACCAAAACATACCACCAATGGTGCAGCAAATAAATTCAAAGTTTTAAAT